CTCCTCAGAGTCCGTGTGCTAGACGACAAACACCTCCTCAGAGTCGGTGTGCTAGACGACAAACATCTCCTCAGAGTCGGTGTGCTAGATGACAAACATCTTCTCAGAGTCAGTGTGCTAGACAGCAAACATCGTCTCAGAGTAGGTGTGCTAGACAACAAACAACTTCTCAGAGCTGATGTTAACAAACAACTAATGGCAGCAAGTACTTTCATGGGAGAAAGGGAAGTGTTGTCAGAATGAGCTCTGTGACCTTGAGTCTGTCACTGAATCTCACCCAGCTTCTACTTCCTTATCTGTTTAATAAAAGCTTCAAAGAAAGGATCGATTTCTCTTGTTGTAATTTTAACGATCATGTAAACATGCAGATTGAGGAAAAATTAAAACACCTGAGGAAAAACCTAATTAATAACAAAATATGTATTATACGTATTATAAAGTACGGCTGCATTGTTAACATGTACTTTAATGCTTCAGTGTTGAAGGAGTAACTGCACATCTGCTGCTGCTGTTGTTGTTAGCTGCCGTCGGTTCTGACTCATAGCGACCCTACGCACCACAGAACGAAACACTGCCCAGTCCTGCACCATGCTCACCATCGTTGTTATGCTTGAGCCCATTGTTGCAGCCACTGTGTCAATCCATCTCGTTGAGGGTCTTCCTCTTTTTCGCTGACCCTCTGCTCTACCAAGCATGATGTCCTTTTCCAGGGACTGATCCCTCCTGACAACATGTCCAAAGTATGTAAGACGTAGTCTCGCCATCCTTGCTTCTGAGGAACAATCTGGTTGTACTTCTTCCAAGACAAATTTGTTCATTCTTTTGGCAGTGCATGGTATATTCAATATTCTTTGCCAACACCACAATTCAAAGGTGTCAATTCTTCTTCAGTCTTCCTTATTTATCATCCAGCTTTCACATGCATATAAGGCGATTGAAAACACCATGGCTTGGGTCAGGGGCACCTTGGTCTTCAGGGTGACATCCTTCATTTTTGCTTTTTAACACTTTATTAAGAGAGGTCTTTTGCAGCAGATTTCCCCAATGCAGTGCATCTTTTGATTTCTTGACTGCTGCTTCCATGGGTGCTGACTGCGGATCCAAGTAAAATGAAATCCTTGACAACTTCAATCTTTTCTCTGTTTATCATGATGTTGCTTATTGGTCCAGTTGTGAGGATTTTTGTTTTCACATCTAATCACTGCCAGCTTCACACTAGCCTTCCTTCTTAACTAGTAATAGTGATATTTGATTGAAATAGTAAATACGCACAAGTCTTTGTGACCCTTCCAAGCCCAGACCAACATTCACTGTGTCATTACTTTGTTACTTACGACTGCAGACCCATCAGAGGGACCAAGAGTTTTACATTTAGTCAAGAGTCCTTCACCAGGTGCCCAGAGCCAGGCTCTATTACTGATTACAGGTATGTAAACTGAATACCTCCTGGTGCTAACAGACACCAAAATACCTCAGACAAACAGAAAGGCGATTCTACTCTGGCATGGGGAGGTCAACAAGATATCTACAGAGAGCTTTATCCACAGAGAGCCCTGAGGAGGCAAGGGCTTGTCTGGTGAGCTGGGACGGGTGTCCTAGAAGCTAAATATGAGCAGAGTCTTAAAATATGAGGAGAGTTTGCTGGGCGGAGAAGGGCCAGGAGGCCATGACAACAGAGGGGCCAGAGGGTACCAAGGAAGGGAGGCGTGAACATCTGTGCAGGCCTTCTCTCCAGGGGCAAGCACAGTAGCAAGCTAAAACCTGAGCTGTGGGAGTACGGGGGTGCGTACGCAGGTTTGCCCTGCAGTGACATTTATACCCTGAACAGGCTGCTCTGACAGCTCACACAGCATTTCTCACGCTCTAGCCAGCCTGTCACCACAGCAGCTGTCCATCTGCCAACCACTTTACAGTCTTTGTAATAAGACCCTAAGCCTTGAATTCATGAATATTTTGTTTCTGGTTGCAGATCTGTTTCAGTAGAATTTAAAAAAGAGAAGTTCACCTTCTGCTTCCCTTGGAGAGGTGCTGGGGTCTACCCTGGCCATCTCTGAGACAGGTCCCACCGGGCCTGGCACTCTCACTGCTGAGAGCCAGCTGTTTTCAGACGCTTTCAGTGGGGCCTTTCCTCGGCACAGCTAACTCATGATGGGGCACCAGGCCAGACTGGGGCACGGAGCAGTGCTGTCTTACACGGGGGGCGTGGGGCATGAAGCCAGGCTTGGCACAGCAGGATGGAGGGGTCATTTACTACCGTGACTCTTCTGTGCATTTAGTGTTTACAGTCTTTGCCTCTTTCCAGTGCCTGAGTCTGTCTGCTTGAAAGGCAAGCAGAATGATGGGATTTCCAGGAATTCACCTTTAGATACATTCTACTCATGTCTGTCCTCTTTCGATAAGGGCTTTTCATTCATGACTGCAGCAGCCGATCCTGGCGCTTTAATAAGAGATGGAAGACTATCTGAAACCAGGAACGGAGCCAGGATAACCAGATGACACAGACCTGAGGCTTAGCGGCCGCACAGCACATAGACACTTACCCAAAACCCACTGCCACCGAGTCGATTCCGACTCATAGTGACCCCCACAGGGTTTCCAAGGAGCAGCTGGTGGATTCGAACTGCAGATCTTTTGGTTAGCAGCCAAACTCTTAACCACTGTGCTACCAGGGTTTCCATAGACACTTACGGCTCGGATAAATAGGAACTCTTGCCTTGTTTTTTGTTTGGGTTATGTGCAAGATTGGCCAGCTAGGATATGTATCCAATAACATGGGGGCTTTTCCTGGCTTCACCAGGATGAAATGAAAATTATGATTCTCATTTCCCCCCACATATGTTCATGTAATCAACAAAAATAATATAACTGCAACTGAGTTTGCTATTATTAATGTCAATCTCATAACTGTTTGACCAGATCGATTAACAATAACAGCTGTGGTTTGATTCCCGCGTCCTTCCTAACCCTCCACACCACGACCTAGTCCCGGCCCGTGCTTCCGAGGAGGTAGTTTCTGAGCTAAATGCGCTGTGTGATCGCACGTGAGGGTGCGCAGCAACTCGTCCCTGCAGCCTCAGCCCTGCAGCCACATCCACTCCTCACCCTACAGCGCAGGGAGGGCGTTCCCTTCTTTTTCTCTACAGGCAAGCTTGGCTGACCGCATTTTTGTAGGAAACTTCATTATATTTGAAAAGGTGGCCTACCACACTGCTCCTACTACACATATTACTCTAGACGACGTTCTGAGAACCTGTTTTCTCACCTGTTGACAAACTGTACCTTCTCACTTTTCTTCCTCACTGCCAGCCTGCTAAGTCAGTAATGTTTCTTGGCACTAATGTATTTTTGTAGAATCATCTTCAAGGCAAGCACGGAACAAACAGGCAGGGGTGGTGTGAAGTTATTGAGTGCGGGTAAAAAATACAGGTTACAAAACCAACAAGGAGTTTTTTGGTGGCTGGGGACAGGTTTTGTTTCCAGAGAGTGGGGCAGGTGCAGGAACTAGATTTGTTAACGTTTTAGTATGTGCCAGGCGCTATGGTGGGTGCTTCATGGACATTAACTCACTATATTCTAAGAACCAATAAGATACATGTAATTACCCTCATGTATCAGAGAAAGGGAGCACTGGTGGTACAATGGTTAAGCACTTGGCTGCTAACAGAAAGGTCAGCGGTACAAACCCACAAACCACTCCATGGAAGAGAGATGTGGCAGTCTGCTTCCATAAAGATTACAGCCTTGGAAACCCTATGGGGCAGTTCTACTCCGTGCTACAGGGTCGCTATGAGTTGGAATTGACTTGGTGGTGACGGCAGAGGAAGACACGAAGCTCAAGGAGGCTGGGTGAGTGGCTTATCACCTACGGAGTAAGAGATCTCCCTGCTACTATCTACTCTACCCCTTCAACTTAACCCCTGCTTCTCAGAAGCTCACGACAGCTGGCGTTACCATCTTCACTCTCTCCTGTCTCCAACATTCAAAAAGACTCTTCTCCTTCCTTACCATCTGTCATGGATTCAATTATGTCCCCCAAAAATCTGTGTATCGATTTGGCTAGGCCATGATTCCCAGAATTGTGTGGTTGGCATCCATTTTGTGATTGTAATTTTATGTTAAAGAGGATTAGGGTGGGATGTAACACCACCTTTACCCAGGTCACATCCTTGATGCAATGTAAGGGGAGTTTCCCTGGGGTGTGGCCTGCACCACATTTTATCTCTCAAGAGATAAAAGGAAAGGGAAGCAAGCAGAGAGTTGGAGACCTCATACCACCAAGAAAGCAGTGCTGGGAGCAGAGCACATCCTTTGGATCAGGGTCCCTGCACAGGGAAGCTCCTAGTCCGGGGGAATATTGATGAGAAGGCCGACAGGGAGAGAAAGCCTTCCCCTGGAACTGACGCCCTGAATTGGGACTTCTAGCCTACTTTACCGTGAAGAAATAAATTTCTCTTTGTTAAAGCCATCCACTTGTGGTACTTCTGTTACAGCAGCACTAGATGACCAAGACAGACATCCATCCACCAGCTGGCTTCTCAGTTCTCTGAACACCTCCTTAACTCAGCTACTTTCTTCCAAGTCCTCGTTATCAAAAGAAATGACACTACCTCTGAAATCAGAATTTTTAAACACACCCCTCTCTGACCGTCACCTCCTTATCCTTGTAGCTCACGGGTACTCAAGACCATCAACTCTACCACCTTCTCACTGTGTAGCAGTTCTGTCCTAGCTACATTTCTCTCCTTGTGCAGCGAACATACCTTTGTTCCATATCATCTTTTCCTCACGAAGAACTCAACATTCTTGTCCCTTTCTTCATTATACCCTGCAAGGGGTATCCCTTCCCCTCCCCTAGGCCACTTCTTCCCCCTGTGCCCTGGATTCCACTCCATCTCACTTTCCCCCAGATGTGCTCCTATTGTTACCACCTCTCTCTCCGGCAACATCGTCCTGTTCTCTCTACTGGATTACTCCTATCAGCAAACATGCTTCTATCTTAAAACATCCTCTCGCTGACCTCCATATTCCCTTCTAGCTACCTCATTTCTCTGCAATCATTCACAGCCTAACTTCTGAAGACAGTCAACTAAACTCTAATTCTATTTCCTCACCGACCATTCTCTCTTCAGCATGCTCCAAAATCTACCATCCTCACCACTCTATGTGACCCCATTCTTTCAAGGTCACCAACAACCTCCATGCTGTCAAACTCAATACATTTTTCTGACCTTATCTCCCTTGGTCTCTCAACAAACAGCAAACACTGATGCTCCTTCTTTCTGGAAGCATTCTCTTTGTATTTCGTGGCAACACAATATCCTGATTGCTTTTTCCTCTTAGCCCTGTGAAGGCTCCTCTTCCTCTACATGACCTCTAAAGGCTGGTGTTCTTCAGCGCTTGCTCCCAGGCCACCTGCTACTTTTCCGTAGGTGATCTCAACATTTCTGGGGCTTTAAATATCCTGTTTTCTGATGATTCTATAATTTATATCTCCATCTTGGCTCTCTTCCCTGAGCAACAGACCTGCATGTCCAACTACCTCCACTCAGATGCCTGACGGCTATCTCAAACTTAACATGTTCAAAATGAAACTTTTAATTTTCTTTGCAACAACACCTCCCCCTGCAAAATGTCCCTCCCTGCACAAGTCTGTCCCATCTGAGTAAATGGCGCTACCGCCCAAATACCCTGCTGCTCTAGCCAGAACCCTGTCACTCCCTTTTGATTACTCTGTTTCCTTCACTCTCCATATGTAACCCATCAGCAAGTCCACCTCTGGAAAACATCTCAGCTGTACCTAGAGTAGTCACTCCCTCCCAGTACCACCCTGTTTGTTTTCTTTACAGCATCAATCCCAATTTGTAATTATTTATTTACTTCTTCACCTTTTACTTTCAAGTGTGGAAAAGATGAACAATTATTCCAATCTCTCAAACACCAGCTCTTCCATTCTAAGATACTTGTTATAAAAGGTAAAATGACTACTAGTGATATTATCAATCTACCTTTCAGATTTATACTGACAAAAGTGTTTGTATGTAATAGCTCAGACTCTACAAGGAAAACAGAGTTTCTCCAATGATACCAAGCAAAGCAGTGTTAGTAACACTTCTCATTTCTGTTCTTTTGGCTCTCACTTTCCCAAAGCTCCAGGAACAACAGCAGAGCTGGCTGGGAGAGACGGGTATCACGCAGCAACGGAAACATGCCGCATCTTTGGTTTTTATTTGTTGTTGTATGTAAATTCCCAAGGAACTGCTGGAATATACTAGGAAGCCTAGAGAAAAGGCCCAGCTGACATGCAGGGATCTGAACCTGTCTACTTACACGTCTTCGCTCACAAAATCACTGAATTCTCTCGGAACAGGCTAGCAGATTTTGCTCACTTTCTCAACCAACAAAGTTTTGCTCAAGTTAAAAACTCACATCTCAAAACTTCAAAATTTAAATCCATGATATCTTTAGAATTCAAATAACCAAAATGATGCCTCTGATTTTACTGTTCAAGACCAGATTTACTGTGAATGGCAAACAGGTTCTGTTGTAACTGAGCGTTCTGCAGAGGCTCGTTAGCGTAACAATCAGCTCAGGGTTTAAACAGGTAAACAAGGCGAATTTGAGGAAAACCATATCCACAGAGAAGGATTTCAAATGGCACTTGGGGAGATCATCTGCATAAGTGATCAGGTTTATCTTCTGAAAATCTATCTTTTTTCATTAAGCTGACAAGCAGGATAGGACAAAGGTTACGAAGAAACATGCTACAGTCAGCCGTGTAATACGAGCCTTTTCTAGTAACTGACCTTTTTATAAAAGCTCACAGAAGCATCCTATAAAATTTATCATAATGCCCTCAGCAGTCATAGACTTTAATACCTATTTCCACCCAGTTGCCTCAACTCGCTCCTGGGTCCAGGCCTTTCTGGTAGCTAGCTATACTGTGAGGTACAGTTTGGGGAGGAAACCAGAAATAGGGCTACAACTGTATGCAGGTTTAACCCTAAAGGAACTGTCACCAGTGAAACAAGAGATTCCTGAAAGACGCCGTCTGGGTCTGCACCAGCAATAGTGGGAATGGACCACCATGAAATTATGCTTATGTTTTCAGATGTTTTGTACTACTGATTCCCCATCTCCTTCCTCCAGCCCTTGTCGGGGCAAAGACATCTCTAATTGAAGCACATACACCAGAAACACAGAAGTGGTAAGGAGAAAAACAGAGACAGTGCTGTTAAAACAGAACTCTGGAGGGCAGAGAGTAAGACCAGACTGGGTTTCTAAAAGAGGTATGGCCAGGGTCTCGAGCTCCCTGCAATGGTCATCTCATCTCCTTAACACTAAAAAGCAATCCTGTACAGAAAACAAGTCTCCAATCTCAAGACAAAATTCAGTCTCCCAAAACATCCAACTCTACTTCTCTGATCTATTAAGTAACCACCAGAGTAAACTGGTGAGCATCAATGAAGAAACAAGAATGATCACCTCCATGTCATACATCGGGGGCCCAAGGATGTCTTTCAGAGCGTGAAAATCAATCAAAATCGGCATTTCAGGTGGCAGGGCCAAGTCGGTAGTGTCATCGACAGATTCAGGTTTTGCATCTTCTAAGATGTGTTCTCTGCAACCTAAGAGAGAAAAATTTATTTAGAATAGAACTTCTAAGACCCTTGCAGGTTTCAAAATTCATTAGCAGTAAATACCAAAAAGTGGACAGACTTCAACAGGGCAGTCCCTTTTATGCATTTATGAAAGGCCCGGAAATTCACCTTGCGTACACGTGGAAGTTAGGCAGAAGCATTAGTCCTTCAGTAACCCTCTGAGGGTGGTAGAATGCAATTATCTGTTCACTTACTCGTTCAGTGTCTATGTCTTCCCATTAAAGTGTGAGCTTCATGAGGCCAGCAGTGGTCTTTAGGGGCCACATATGGAAGGTCAAGCACAACAGATTACCTTGTACAATTCTCTGTTATTTATCAACATAGCTCAGGGCTGGTAAAAAAACACATCAATTCCTTCTACTCTTGATTACTTTTCAGGGGACTCAATCAAGTATCCCATTTTCTGACCAGGCGATATGCACTTGGAAATGACAGAATCCACGCTAAGCAATGCCTCCTTTGTGTGAACATAGCTCAACTCCAAGGTTACAATTTTCCAATAAAAACAAATATAACCGGTAATGACGGGAAAGAAATACGAAGCCTGGTTTGAAATCCCTATAATAATGGGCCATTTCCCTTTCACCATCCTGAGAGCCAGGCTTGACTGATATCTTGTCAAAGTACAGACTGACCCATTTTAGTTTGGGTCTAGACATAGCAGGAGCAGGAGCCAACTGACCTACCACAGCACCTTTTCTATAGGTCTTTGTAATTCCAGTCTGAGAAAAGATAAGTAATTCATAACATATGGCTAAATAAGAAACCTAAAATAAGGAGTAGGGAGTTTAAAAACATGTAGGGATATCTGACTATTCATTCTCATCCCTAGCCTTGTTTTTCTTTTAGTTTTGCTATGATTCTTCTAGTTCTTATACTAGTTCATGAAATGTTTTAAAGTATCTTTATTACATCTTTGACATTCTAACACACCTTTCTGAAACCGATTACTATATATATTTATTAATATATAACATATAATTATATAATCATAAACTTCACCTATATTGATTTTAGTTTCGCTTTCTTCCAGTTCTTATACTACACAAAGTTAGCGAGGCAGTGGTGCTCTGAGATCCAGGTAGTGGTGTTCCCTGATGTGAGGCAGCGGTGCTGTGAGACGCAGGCAGTGATGCTGTGAGACGCAGGCAGTGGTGCTCTTAGATGCGAGGCAGCGGTGCTCTGAGATGCGAGGCAGCGGTGCTCTGAGATGTGAGGCAGTGGTGCTGTGAGACGCAGCTAGTGGTGCTGTGAGATGCAGGCAGTGGTGCTCTGAGATGCGAGGCAGTGGTGCTGTGAGACGCAGGCAGTGGTGCTCTGAGACGCAGGCAGTGGTGCTCTGAGATGCGAGGCAGCGGTGCTCTGAGATGCGAGGCAGCGGTGCTCTGAGATGCGAGGCAGCGGTGCTCTGAGATGCGAGGCAGCGGT